GATTTGAAAAATCTAGGGTTTTGTTTTCGTAGCCTGTTACGCACATGATTCCGGAGCACAATCCCCACTCTGCTAGTTTCACTTTTTTCTCTTAATCTAGGCCTCTGCCTTTTTCTACATTTTCCCTCACTAACCTGTTCTGCATTTACTTTTCAAAATCTTTGAGCTTGAATCTTTGGTGTTTCTTGGCTTTAGATCTTCTTCTAGTATTCGTCGATTTAGGGTTAAAGATCTAATCTTTCCATCATTCTGGAAGCCATTTGCTTTTTAACTTGTAGAAGGGAATCTTTCTCAACCCCTGTTATTGTGTCTTTATTGGTTTCTTAGTTGAAGATAGCACCAGTGAGAGGATTTCGGGTTGAGGACACAAGATAGAGTATTATTTTTCACAATTGACGAACCTGTTGGTTAATGCATGGATGGAAGAGAAGGTATGGGTTTTCCTGGCGGCTCTGCTCCATATTACATGCAGCATAGAGGAGGGGTTAGTGGGTCTGGTCCTGGAACTGGAACGCCCTCTGGGTTCCAACCACCTTCTGGGTTCAGAGCTTTGTCTAATGTCTCATCAGGTTCTACATTCTCATTAGAAGCTAAGCCTCCGTCTCAACCTCAGCCTCAGCGGGGAGGTTTCGGTCATGGAATTAACTTAGGTTCCTCTCCTGGAATTAACTTAGGTTCCTCACCTGACGGTGGAGGCGGTGGTGGAATGTCTTCTTCTGGTGACCCTGTGAAAAAGAAAAGAGGGAGGCCAAGAAAGTATGGTCCTGATAGTGGGACTGTTTCCCTGAGACTCTCTCCCTTGTCTGCCACTGCTAATTCCACCCCAGGATCAGGCACTCCCTCAGAGAAACGGCCTAGAGGGCGCCCACCTGGAAGTGGAAGGAAGCAACAGCTTGCTAATTTAGGTACTTTTATAATTATGTTAGTTTGAAATTATAATTATAAATTCCTGTTGATTGCTTGATCTGTTGATAGAGATTCAACTTCTCAAAAGTGAAACTATCATTTGAAAGGGAAAAGTGGGGTGTTAATAATTGTTGACAAGTTTCCTAAAAGAAGTTACCTTGTTTCTTTGGCCCGAAGTTGACGGCTCGCTGACCAGTTCAATTTTTTTTCCTATTGAGGATGTCAACTTGCTTTCAAGTTCATCCTTTTAGGGTATGCATGAAAAAAAATTAGGAACAAAAGCAGTGATATTAAATATTTTTAAGAGACAGAGTCGTGTATTTTATCTGAGAAAATTAATGGAGAAGATTATGGTAAAATATGTGTACTTGTATATAGGTTGTTAAATCTGATTTTATGCTTATTTTGGTGATTATAAAAATGGACAACTGTTAAAATTTATGATTAACATCCCAACTTTGGGCTTTTATTTTAAAGAAAGGCAGTGAGCGTGCACCCTTTTCATACTGTATTTTTCCTTACACGCTTTATTGTTTGAAGTGGCAATTTCTATTTTACTATTTTCTTTTTCTTTTATCTATTTGGAATATTTTTCTATTTTTTGCCATTGTTGTGCTTTATGTTTGTGGCGGTTTTGGCTTCCAAGTTATTGATATCTCATTACTTTTTAATTATAAATCTTTCTTCAGAAATCCCTGAATTGATAGTGATTGTAATATATGGATCTTCTGAACACTTTCAAGATATGTTGAACGGTGGAAATTAGTGTGCTTGCTTCTGCTTGAGAAAAAGACAATTTTTTTTTCTAGCTTTCTGACAGCTTTTGAAAAGAAAGTAAAAAAAGTGTTAGCAGAAAGAAGTGCCCATTGTTATAATTTCTGATGTTCAACTTATGTGCGGGTTCTCAAGCACATGGTTTACAGAAGCAACATCGTGATTCTAATTTTGTTCTTATGGTGATTGCAAGATTCAAATTGCTGGTCTAGTTTCATTCTAAAGAATTCAGAAACCATGAAAATCTGAACATTTAGTATTGAGCTACCCTTTCCTCTCTGATGAAATTGTTTATTTTCTATTATTTTAATGGTTAGTAGTAATTGAAAATGCCAAGTTTATCTTTTTTTCCATGAAATTTGTAAACTTTTACGGTGATATTATTTCTCTCTTCCTAGGTGAATGGATGAACAGTTCTGCAGGACTAGCCTTTTCACCTCATGTTATCACTGTTGGAGTTGGGGAGGTATTTCACAAGAGCTATAGTTTCCTATAGTTTGTTTATTTCTCAAACTGTCTTTTGAAATCATAAATATATAAATGTTTAAGCTCACGTTGGATATTTCAAATTCAAAAAGCTCCTAAATAATTGTTTACGTCAACATGATGAAAATATGATTTCCCAACCAAAAAAGATGTCTTCCATGATTTGAGAGATGTTGTAATTAGTTGTATATACTTCATGTACTCATTCAGAAATGATCAAAAGTAGTTTAGATCTGGTATTTTGTTTTTTTAATTTTAGAGTGCTTCTCTGCTATTGTTCATAATATTGATATACTGTTCATGGATGGTCAATTGCAATCATTGAGTGCACCCAACGATTTAATAGTCATGTAGTCTGGGATTGTCAATGGCGTATAAACTGAAGCATCACACATCAATGTGGTTACTGATTGGATATAAAACTGATGATATTTAATGGATCTATCTAATTTTAATTTCAGCTGAAGTAATCGGTACATTTACTTTTTTTCATCATGTTGTAAACCTTCAACATGGTTATTTATAATTGTACATTAATTTAAATGTTACTTGATTGTAGACTTTCTTTGTTTCAGGATATTGTAGCAAAGTTATTCTCATTTTCACAGCAGAGGCCAAGGGCTTTGTGCATCTTAACTGGAACTGGTACAGTTTCTTCTGTCACTCTGCGCCAGCCAGCTTCTACTACCATCAGTGCTTCTTATGAGGTTAAAGAACTGAACACTGCATACCTCGACTATTAGAAATTTTAATCATAAATATCCTTCATCTCTATCTCCTCTGCGTGGTTCTAACTTAGTGACAAGTTATCATGTAGCAAGTTGGTTAAGTTATAGTTCTGTGCTGTCCAAGAAAAGGGGTAAATGGTAGCAATTCTGGTATTGCAATCAAAATTCAGCTTTATGCAACGGCTAATGAGATTGAGTACTGTTTAAAGTGAATTAGGTTTCTGTTCTTATCATGATGCAATAGCAATAGTAAACATTTTTTTTATCTTGTACGGTTTACAGGGCCGATTTCAAATATTATGCTTGTCTGGTTCTTACTTGGTCGCTGAAGAAGGTGGACCACGCAGTAGAACAGGTGGCATGAGTGTTTCCCTTTCTAGTCCCGATGGTCATATTATTGGTGGTGGTGTTGCCAGCCTTATAGCTGCAAGCCCAGTCCAGGTATATTCTTAATTGCCCAAACTCTATTTCTTGTACTTATGCGCGCTGTATGTTCATTCAAGATGTTAAAACAATTAGTTCAGCAACTAGAAGGTATTCTGAATGGGGTGGAAGCAGTGTTTAAGCCTAATAATGATTTACGTTCTTGTGCATCTGTACATGCATTAGATACTAACCTTTTCCCAAACATTGAGAATTTGAGACTTCGCTTGGTGCAGGTGGTAGTGTGCAGTTTTGTATATGCAGGCTCTAAGCCAAAGACTAAACAAGTGACCACTGCTACAAAAGATAACAATTCTGAACCTCAGAGTAGTGACAAGTTAGCTTCTCCAGCCAGTGCTCCTCCTAATCAAAACTACTCTTCTCCTGCCCCAGGCATGTGGCCTGCTCAATCAAGGCCGTTAGAGGTGAAAAGTGCACATCCACACACTGGTATTGACTTGACGCGTGGGTGAACAACATTTATTACTTTACAAGACATTGCAGTTTTGTATAGAAATCTCTTGTTGTAAATGAACCGAATTTGTGAGCATTGTGACTCTTGCTATCCCCGTTTATGGGTGACAAGTTCTTGCTAACCTATGCTGTAACCAATGGATTTCGGGGTCAAGTAAGACTCTTGACTTAAGAAAAAACTGTTTGGTGAAGTGAAAAGCAAAATATCAGGATCAAGTTGAAAGCTTGTGCTAATCAATTAATTAACACTTCAAGAATATCACTTTGATGTTAATAGCCTTGCTCCAATGCCACCTCAGTTCTCATTTTTTTTACTTTTTCGGTTTCCAATGCATTAACTCATTACTATTTTCTATTTATTAATTCGTCTCAACCACTTGGGGGTAATAATATATCATCAGGTATTCTATTATGGTCTACGATTAATATTAGATTATTTATGAAGAATGTGCTTATAGAATTTCAGCATGGCATCAAGAATCTGTGAAACCGAGTTTTCTGCATACAATCGAGGGAGAGATTCGGTTGGAGGTACTGTGCCTGCTCGTGATAGTAGGTCAGGCAACTTATCTATGCGTATGATTGAAATTAAAATATCTTTGCCACATTTCACTTTACGTTGTTTGTTTCTTTTGACCGATTTTTAAATGGATATCATTTATTTCTTCGATGTAATAATGACAAGTTTATTAATTATTGGTTGAAAGCTCCACACCAATCGATTAAGTGATGGATTAATACTTTAATATCCTTGTTAGGCATCCAGTGTTTAATCTATTTATGGAAAGATGTGATTGTTGCGCTTATTTAATTATACAATTGGAAACAAATTTTAGTAAAAAGAACTTATTCACGAAGTGAGGATATTTTGAGGAGTTGAAGTTTTAGGCTACTTATTTTGGAGTTATGATAATGATAACATTACAAAGAACTAAAGGATAATTCTGAAGTTGTTTGTTTTAATTCTGTAAATAAAAATTATCATAACTTGAACAGTAACATTCTTTTTAGTCATTTGTATTTTTTGTAATTCGTAAAGAACTGTTATGACGCATAATTTTGTACTTCTAAGCTTCTATTAATTTTTGTGGGAGTTTTTAGAAAGTAATATTCAAAATGAAGCATTTATAAAAGATAAAATGAGTTAAAAAATCGTCAAAAATTGAAACTTCCATAGGTGAAACATTTATAACTAAGGAAGACCGAGGGTTAAAAAAAACTGAAGAGAAGTATGGTTTATGATATAAATGAAGTTAAAAAGGAAACAAGAAAGTAAAGGAGGAAGCCATTGTAAGACAAGGTGCTTATTGCATAACATTGCCTCGAGATAAAGCTGTTAAGTAACTGAGGAAGACAACACATTCGCCATATCTTCTCTTCCCAGTTGCCTTCACGAAATACCCAGAAGTTGACGGATGTCTCTCTGCATTACAATTTAAAAGATGGCAAGAGAGTTAGAACAGAAGCAGCACAAAGCATATGAAGTAATTTAAAGAATAATTTAGTCCTGACCTCAAGGCTTAGAGGAGAAGTCGTGGGATAATAGCGACCCACTACGTGTCCCTTCTTATCAACCACAAACTTGGCAAAGTTCCACTGAATATCATCACCAAAAATACCCCATTTGCCGGACTTCAAGAATTTATACAGAGGAGCTGAATTACCCCCATTCACTTCAATCTAGCAATAAAACGAATGAAAGAGGTATTAATATCAGTGCATGCCACGGTTCTCAGCAGAATTTAGATGAATAGCAGTAATCATATATACTTTTGTACAATTAACTAGTCAAGGTGCAGAATTTAAGTTACTAGAAAAATAGCCTGAAGCAGTTGAATATCATTAATAGAATCTTTTCCATAGAAAGCATAACGAGGGATTAGGATGAAAGCAAAAAATATAAAGCCAACGATGACACAGATCATAGATTTAGTCTAGACTTTAGAGTAGATCTTTAGCTACAAGTCTAAAAATACTGAAAATATATATAAAGGTTTCTTTATTTATTTGGAAACATAATAACACAATTTTGGCGAATTGGGTGCTTAAAAATAATAGTTCATGCATGTGGACCAACCTTGTCAAAGATGGGGAATTCAGATTTGAAACGAGTGCAGACAAAGTCCACAATTTTATCATTGCTTTCTGGTTCTTGCTCTCCAAATTGGTTACATGGAAATGCCAGAATCTCCAAGCCTATGTAAGTTCAACAACCCAGTCAATTGCATTAGTTAAATTTATTTACAAGACAAGAGAAACAAAGATAATCAGAGCAATGTATCACAGAAACATTGCACAAAACAGGGTTCCTCCCTAACACAAGTTTTTCCAAGCTGGAAAATTATCAGCACGAAGAGATAATGAAGTATTTGATCAATTTACGCTATTTAAAAAAGCATCAATTACAATAATAGGATGCAATGGTTCCTACTCAATTGCATTTTGAATAACAGCCCCACGTGTGCATGTTTTATCCTCCTAGATTTTGCAATTCCTTTTCCAATATATGGGCCATAAGAGCGTGGCCACCTTCCTCATAGTATCACATGGTGTAATCAGCAAATCCTACCACATTTTCAACAGGACCCAAAATGCTATTCCACAGACGTGCTTGTACCCGGAAGTTCTATACATGGGTGCTGCCCACAAAGCAGTGCCATGTGTTCTCAAGGTTGTTTTGGCAAAAGCAGCATACTGAATTGGATTAAGCCAAACACGGACTGTGACGTAATAATAGGTGAGTTTCACAGAAAATAAGCACATCAGCCTGAACTTCTAGACAAACTGGAATCTTCAAAATTTCCTCTACATGACCCTGCTTCATCATATTAAAACTAAGTTCAGGTCCTAGCGATTATGTTTCCTGTCCATGAAAGCAGATTCACAGAGGTTTGCCATGTCATCATGTGCCAAAGAATTTCCAAACATTTAACCCTGGGACATTTCCAATTCTCCATTTCAAACCTCCTCTAACCACCATCTGAGAAGCATGGATGCTAAGCCTGGCCTAAAGCTAAGCTACCTCTAAGAAGACCCCTTTTGGGTAGTATTTAGCTTTGAGAACTCCTGATGTAATAGCATCATGGCCGGAAGATAATTTCCAACCTTGCTGCCACAGCATGGCTAGATTAAAGTTGTGAATATATCGCAAACCCATTCCTTTGTATTATTTTCTCACAACAAAAAGAGTTAATCGTCCAATGCATCTTTAGACTAAGGATGCAGGTAGCAAAAAAGTGCTGCCAAGATTGCTTAGGCCACAAACTTAACAAGCGTAGGATAAAGGCTTTCTTGCCCAATAATTAACCTTCTTCAACACCTCATCTCTAAGGAAGCTGAACACAACCTTCATCCTCTCAATCATAGACGACAAAGCCCAAGTACTTTCTTGTGACCAAACACTAAGACTCCAAGGAGAGTGTTAATGGGCTGTATAGTTTGCATGCTTGTGTTAGTTCTATAGAAAATCTCCTATTTTGCCATGTTAATAATGACCTGTCCTAAACAACACTTTTTTGAAATATCTATTAGAAAAACTTTCTGATACAAGGAATTTACAAACCTAGGATTTTTCACTCACCACATATCGTACTTGTCTCAGCCGATAACAAAGACAAACTAATAGTTATAATACCACTTGTGGGTTGTTCAAGGAGACACTCAAGGAGATTTGGCACCAATGAGTCATGGATAAACCCATACAAGAGAATAGGACATTACCCTTAATCTAAAACCTTAAAACAATGAGTTTGTGACTCTTTGTTCTTTCATAATGCTTATCTTTCTCATTTTTATCCAATCCCCTTGTTTCTTGCAACAATCTCTTCCTCAACAATTGTCCTATTAGGAATCAAACTCTTTGATTGCAACTTGATCAACTTGCTTTATGCTATAGGATAAGCGATGCAACTTGCAACAATCTTCTACTTAACAATTGCCCACTCGAACTCGTGACTTTGACTTTGATTCCAATTGTTGAATCAAATGCTTAAGATTATTTCAAAAATTATAGTTAATAGTTAGAGCACAACCTTTTCTATTGTGGCATGCTCCATGTAACCTTTGTCACTGGACAATTGATGCAACTTGCAACCATCTCTCCCTCAATAATTGTCTTGCAAAATTTAAACTCTTCAATTGTGACTTGACCTACCTTACCTACTCTACAGAATAATTGATACAACACTCAACAAGACCCATCCCCTCTTTATTAATATGGATAAAGAACATGATAGACTCCATGTGCATACCTTTGATGTAATTCATTCCATACTATCATTGACTTTACTTATGTTAGAATAATTACTGTTACATATCATCATTAAGGCTAGTCTGCTAGACCAGTAATGATTAGTACCTAGTTTTGTACCTAGAGGTCTAGTGTAGACTCTTGGTGTTCCATGTACTCTTGTGTTTTTAATATATATAGAAGATAATGAGAGAGATCTGTTAAGCCCTCAAGAATATACTTTATCAGTTTTAATCTCAAGTACTTAAGACAAGCATGAGAGCTATTTCACCAATCTTCCCCCTCCTATTGCAACTCATATGGTGTACAACCTTAAAGTCCTCTATAGTATTATTCATGATATCACAAACTTAACCAAATGCAAGCTGCTGAGAAAAAAGGCTTAGACCTATTGGCCAAGACTTTGGCAATAAACCTGTACAAAATGTTGCAGGCATATCGGCCCAAATCCTTCATAATCTAGGGGTTCTCTTTCTTTGGAACAAGGAAATGTTGGTGTTGGGAGGGAGGCCTTTTCTAACCATTTCAGACTGGCTTGGTAAATGTCAACAAACAACATATATATCCCAAAATATTTTGTAGAAAGCTGGGTTTAACCCACTAGGGTCTGGAGCTTTTTGTAGAACAATGCTTTTTTGAATTCCTTGAGTCAGAAGGGTTTGGTTAAGATATCATTATACATATCCTACCACTAAAGTACCTCAACACATAACCATAACTATTATTGTTGAACACTCAATTTCCCACAGTAAGTTTTAGCGATTTGACTCTGCCTACTTGAGAGTCTATTATGGGTTTATTTGTGCTCTTACGGNGTAGAAGGGAATCTTTCTCAACCCCTGTTATTGTGTCTTTATTGGTTTCTTAGTTGAAGATAGCACCAGTGAGAGGATTTCGGGTTGAGGACACAAGATAGAGTATTATTTTTCACAATTGACGAACCTGTTGGTTAATGCATGGATGGAAGAGAAGGTATGGGTTTTCCTGGCGGCTCTGCTCCATATTACATGCAGCATAGAGGAGGGGTTAGTGGGTCTGGTCCTGGAACTGGAACGCCCTCTGGGTTCCAACCACCTTCTGGGTTCAGAGCTTTGTCTAATGTCTCATCAGGTTCTACATTCTCATTAGAAGCTAAGCCTCCGTCTCAACCTCAGCCTCAGCGGGGAGGTTTCGGTCATGGAATTAACTTAGGTTCCTCTCCTGGAATTAACTTAGGTTCCTCACCTGACGGTGGAGGCGGTGGTGGAATGTCTTCTTCTGGTGACCCTGTGAAAAAGAAAAGAGGGAGGCCAAGAAAGTATGGTCCTGATAGTGGGACTGTTTCCCTGAGACTCTCTCCCTTGTCTGCCACTGCTAATTCCACCCCAGGATCAGGCACTCCCTCAGAGAAACGGCCTAGAGGGCGCCCACCTGGAAGTGGAAGGAAGCAACAGCTTGCTAATTTAGGTACTTTTATAATTATGTTAGTTTGAAATTATAATTATAAATTCCTGTTGATTGCTTGATCTGTTGATAGAGATTCAACTTCTCAAAAGTGAAACTATCATTTGAAAGGGAAAAGTGGGGTGTTAATAATTGTTGACAAGTTTCCTAAAAGAAGTTACCTTGTTTCTTTGGCCCGAAGTTGACGGCTCGCTGACCAGTTCAATTTTTTTTCCTATTGAGGTTGTCAACTTGCTTTCAAGTTCATCCTTTTAGGGTATGCATGAAAAAAAATTAGGAACAAAAGCAGTGATATTAAATATTTTTAAGAGACTGAGTCGTGTATTTTATCTGAGAAAATTAATGGAGAAGATTATGGTAAAATATGTGTACTTGTATATAGGTTGTTAAATCTGATTTTATGCTTATTTTGGTGATTATAAAAATGGACAACTGTTAAAATTTATGATTAACATCCCAACTTTGGGCTTTTATTTTAAAGAAAGGCAGTGAGCGTGCACCCTTTTCATACTGTATTTTTCCTTACACGCTTTATTGTTTGAAGTGGCAATTTCTATTTTACTATTTTCTTTTTCTTTTATCTATTTGGAATATTTTTCTATTTTTTGCCATTGTTGTGCTTTATGTTTGTGGCGGTTTTGGCTTCCAAGTTATTGATATCTCATTACTTTTTAATTATAAATCTTTCTTCAGAAATCCCTGAATTGATAGTGATTGTAATATATGGATCTTCTGAACACTTTCAAGATATGTTGAACGGTGGAAATTAGTGTGCTTGCTTCTGCTTGAGAAAAAGACAATTTTTTTTTCTAGCTTTCTGACAGCTTTTGAAAAGAAAGTAAAAAAAGTGTTAGCAGAAAGAAGTGCCCATTGTTATAATTTCTGATGTTCAACTTATGTGCGGGTTCTCAAGCACATGGTTTACAGAAGCAACATCGTGATTCTAATTTTGTTCTTATGGTGATTGCAAGATTCAAATTGCTGGTCTAGTTTCATTCTAAAGAATTCAGAAACCATGAAAATCTGAACATTTAGTATTGAGCTACCCTTTCCTCTCTGATGAAATTGTTTATTTTCTATTATTTTAATGGTTAGTAGTAATTGAAAATGCCAAGTTTATCTTTTTTTCCATGAAATTTGTAAACTTTTACGGTGATATTATTTCTCTCTTCCTAGGTGAATGGATGAACAGTTCTGCAGGACTAGCCTTTTCACCTCATGTTATCACTGTTGGAGTTGGGGAGGTATTTCACAAGAGCTATAGTTTCCTATAGTTTGTTTATTTCTCTTACTGTCTTTTGAAATCATAAATATATAAATGTTTAAGCTCACGTTGGATATTTCAAATTCGAAAAGCTCCTAAATAATTGTTTACGTCAACATGATGAAAATATGATTTCCCAACCAAAAAAGATGTCTTCCATGATTTGAGAGATGTTGTAATTAGTTGTATGTACTTCATGTACTCATTCAGAAATGATCAAAAGTAGTTTAGATCTGGTATTTTGTTTTTTTAATTTTAGAGTGCTTCTCTGCTATTGTTCATAATATTGATATACTGTTCATGGATGGTCAATTGCAATCATTGAGTGCACCCAACGATTTAATAGTCATGTAGTCTGGGATTGTCAATGGCGTATAAACTGAAGCATCACACATCAATGTGGTTACTGATTGGATATAAAACTGATGATATTTAATGGATCTATCTAATTTTAATTTCAGCTGAAGTAATCGGTACATTTACTTTTTTTCATCATGTTGTAAACCTTCAACATGGTTATTTATAATTGTACATTAATTTAAATGTTACTTGATTGTAGACTTTCTTTGTTTCAGGATATTGTAGCAAAGTTATTCTCATTTTCACAGCAGAGGCCAAGGGCTTTGTGCATCTTAACTGGAACTGGTACTGTTTCTTCTGTCACTCTGCGCCAGCCAGCTTCTACTACCATCAGTGCTTCTTATGAGGTTAAAGAACTGAACACTGCATACCTCGACTATTAGAAATTTTAATCATAAATATCCTTCATCTCTATCTCCTCTGCGTGGTTCTAACTTAGTGACAAGTTATCATGTAGCAAGTTGGTTAAGTTATAGTTCTGTGCTGTCCAAGAAAAGGGGTAAATGGTAGCAATTCTGGTATTGCAATCAAAATTCAGCTTTATGCAACGGCTAATGAGATTGAGTACTGTTTAAAGTGAATTAGGTTTCTGTTCTTATCATGATGCAATAGCAATAGTAAACATTTTTTTTATCTTGTACGGTTTACAGGGCCGATTTCAAATATTATGCTTGTCTGGTTCTTACTTGGTCGCTGAAGAAGGTGGACCACGCAGTAGAACAGGTGGCATGAGTGTTTCCCTTTCTAGTCCCGATGGTCATATTATTGGTGGTGGTGTTGCCAGCCTTATAGCTGCAAGCCCAGTCCAGGTATATTCTTAATTGCCCAAACTCTATTTCTTGTACTTATGCGCGCTGTATGTTCATTCAAGATGTTAAAACAATTAGTTCAGCAACTAGAAGGTATTCTGAATGGGGTGGAAGCAGTGTTTAAGCCTAATAATGATTTACGTTCTTGTGCATCTGTACATGCGTTAGATACTAACCTTTTCCCAAACATTGAGAATTTGAGACTTCGCTTGGTGCAGGTGGTAGTGTGCAGTTTTGTATATGCAGGCTCTAAGCCAAAGACTAAACAAGTGACCACTGCTACAAAAGATAACAATTCTGAACCTCAGAGTAGTGACAAGTTAGCTTCTCCAGCCAGTGCTCCTCCTAATCAAAACTACTCTTCTCCTGCCCCAGGCATGTGGCCTGCTCAATCAAGGCCGTTAGAGGTGAAAAGTGCACATCCACACACTGGTATTGACTTGACGCGTGGGTGAACAACATTTATTACTTTACAAGACATTGCAGTTTTGTATAGAAATCTCTTGTTGTAAATGAACCGAATTTGTGAGCATTGTGACTCTTGCTATCCCCGTTTATGGGTGACAAGTTCTTGCTAACCTATGCTGTAACCAATGGATTTCGGGGTCAAGTAAGACTCTTGACTTAAGAAAAAACTGTTTGGTGAAGTGAAAAGCAAAATATCAGGATCAAGTTGAAAGCTTGTGCTAATCAATTAATTAACACTTCAAGAATATCACTTTGATGTTAATAGCCTTGCTCCAATGCCACCTCAGTTCTCATTTTTTTTACTTTTTCGGTTTCCAATGCATTAACTCATTACTATTTTCTATTTATTAATTCGTCTCAACCACTTGGGGGTAATAATATATCATCAGGTATTCTATTATGGTCTACGATTAATATTAGATTATTTATGAAGAATGTGCTTATAGAATTTCAGCATGGCATCAAGAATCTGTGAAACCGAGTTTTCTGCATACAATCGAGGGAGAGATTCGGTTGGAGGTACTGTGCCTGCTCGTGATAGTAGGTCAGGCAACTTATCTATGCGTATGATTGAAATTAAAATATCTTTGCCACATTTCACTTTACGTTGTTTGTTTCTTTTGACCGATTTTTAAATGGATATCATTTATTTCTTCGATGTAATAATGACAAGTTTATTAATTATTGGTTGAAAGCTCCACACCAATCGATTAAGTGATGGATTAATACTTTAATATCCTTGTTAGGCATCCAGTGTTTAATCTATTTATGGAAAGATGTGATTGTTGCGCTTATTTAATTATACAATTGGAAACACATTTTAGTAAAAAGAACTTATTCACGAAGTGAGGATATTTTGAGGAGTTGAAGTTTTAGGCTACTTATTTTGGAGTTATGATAATGATAACATTACAAAGAACTAAAGGATAATTCTGAAGTTGTTTGTTTTAATTCTGTAAATAAAAATTATCATAACTTGAACAGTAACATTCTTTTTAGTCATTTGTATTTTTTGTAATTCGTAAAGAACTGTTATGACGCATAATTTTGTACTTCTAAGCTTCTATTAATTTTTGTGGGAGTTTTTAGAAAGTAATATTCAAAATGAAGCATTTATAAAAGATAAAATGAGTTAAAAAATCGTCAAAAATTGAAACTTCCATAGGTGAAACATTTATAACTAAGGAAGACCGAGGGTTAAAAAAAACTGAAGAGAAGTATGGTTTATGATAAAAATGAAGTTAAAAAGGAAACAAGAAAGTAAAGGAGGAAGCCATTGTAAGACAAGGTGCTTATTGCATAACATTGCCTCGAAATAAAGCTGTTAAGTAACTGAGGAAGACAACACATTCGCCATATCTTCTCTTCCCAGTTGCCTTCACGAAATACCCAGAAGTTGACGGATGTCTCTCTGCATTACAATTTAAAAGATGGCAAGAGAGTTAGAACAGAAGCAGCACAAAGCATATGAAGTAATTTAAAGAATAATTTAGTCCTGACCTCAAGGCTTAGAGGAGAAGTCGTGGGATAATAGCGACCCACTACGTGTCCCTTCTTATCAACCACAAACTTGGCAAAGTTCCACTGAATATCATCACCAAAAATACCCCATTTGCCGGACTTCAAGAATTTATACAGAGGAGCTGAATTACCCCCATTCACTTCAATCTAGCAATAAAACGAATGAAAGAGGTATTAATATCAGTGCATGCCACGGTTCTCAGCAGAATTTAGATGAATAGCAGTAATCATATATACTTTTGTACAATTAACTAGTCAAGGTGCAGAATTTAAGTTACTAGAAAAATAGCCTGAAGCAGTTGAATATCATTAATAGAATCTTTTCCATAGAAAGCATAACGAGGGATTAGGATGAAAGCAAAAAATATAAAGCCAACGATGACACAGATCATAGATTTAGTCTAGACTTTAGAGTAGATCTTTAGCTACAAGTCTAAAAATACTGAAAATATATATAAAGGTTTCTTTATTTATTTGGAAACATAATAACACAATTTTGGCGAATTGGGTGCTTAAAAATAATAGTTCATGCATGTGGACCAACCTTGTCAAAGATGGGGAATTCAGATTTGAAACGAGTGCAGACAAAGTCCACAATTTTATCATTGCTTTCTGGTTCTTGCTCTCCAAATTGGTTACATGGAAATGCCAGAATCTCCAAGCCTATGTAAGTTCAACAACCCAGTCAATTGCATTAGTTAAATTTATTTACAAGACAAGAGAAACAAAGATAATCAGAGCAATGTATCACAGAAACATTGCACAAAACAGGGTTCCTCCCTAACACAAGTTTTTCCAAGCTGGAAAATTATCAGCACGAAGAGATAATGAAGTATTTGATCAATTTACGCTATTTAAAAAAGCATCAATTACAATAATAGGATGCAATGGTTCCTACTCAATTGCATTTTGAATAACAGCCCCACGTGTGCATGTTTTATCCTCCTAGATTTTGCAATTCCTTTTCCAATATATGGGCCATAAGAGCGTGGCCACCTTCCTCATAGTATCACATGGTGTAATCAGCAAATCCTACCACATTTTCAACAGGACCCAAAATGCTATTCCACAGACGTGCTTGTACCCGGAAGTTCTATACATGGGTGCTGCCCACAAAGCAGTGCCATGTGTTCTCAAGGTTGTTTTGGCAAAAGCAGCATACTGAATTGGATTAAGCCAAACACGGACTGTGACGTAATAATAGGTGAGTTTCACAGAAAATAAGCACATCAGCCTGAACTTCTAGACAAACTGGAATCTTCAAAATTTCCTCTACATGACCCTGCTTCATCATATTAAAACTAAGTTCAGGTCCTAGCGATTATGTTTCCTGTCCATGAAAGCAGATTCACAGAGGTTTGCCATGTAATCATGTGCCAAAGAATTTCCAAACATTTAACCCTGGGACAATTCCAATTCTCCATTTCAAACCTCCTCTAACCACCATCTGAGAAGCATGGATGCTAAGCCTGGCCTAAAGCTAAGCTACCTCTAAGAAGACCCCTTTTGGGTAGTATTTAGCTTTGAGAACTCCTGATGTAATAGCATCATGGCCGGAAGATAATTTCCAACCTTGCTGCCACAGCATGGCTAGATTAAAGTTGTGAATATATCGCAAACCCATTCCTTTGTATTATTTTCTCACAACAAAAAGAGTTAATCGTCCAATGCATCTTTAGACTAAGGATGCAGGTAGCAAAAAAGTGCTGCCAAGATTGCTTAGGCCACAAACTTAACAAGCGTAGGATAAAGGCTTTCTTGCCCAATAATTAACCTTCTTCAACACCTCATCTCTAAGGAAGCTGAACACAACCTTCATCCTCTCAATCATAGACGACAAAGCCCAAGTACTTTCTTGTGACCAAACACTAAGACTCCAAGGAGAGTGTTAATGGGCTGTATAGTTTGCATGCTTGTGTTAGTTCTATAGAAAATCTCCTATTTTGCCATGTTAATAATGACCTGTCCTAAACAACACTTTTTTGAAATATCTATTAGAAAAACTTTCTGATACAAGGAATTTACAAACCTAGGATTTTTCACTCACCACATATCGTACTTGTCTCAGCCGATAACAAAGACAAACTAATAGTTATAATACCACTTGTGGGTTGTTCAAGGAGACACTCAAGGAGATTTGGCACCAATGAGTCATGGATAAACCCATACAAGAGAATAGGACATAACCCTTAATCTAAAACCTTAAAACAATGAGTTTGTGACTCTTTATTCTTTCATAATGCTTATCTTTCTCATTTTTATCCAATCCCCTTGTTTCTTGCAACAATCTCTTCCTCAACAATTGTCCTATTAGGAATCAAACTCTTTGATTGCAACTTGATCAACTTGCTATATGCTATAGGATAAGAGATGCAACTTGCAACAATCTTCTACTTAACAATTGCCCACTCGAACTCGTGACTTTGACTTTGATTCCAATTGTTGAATCAAATGCTTAAGATTATTTCAAAAATTATAGTTAATAGTTAGAGCACAACCTTTTCTATTGTGGCATGCTCCATGTAACCTTTGTCACTGGACAATTGATGCAACTTGCAACCATCTCTCCCTCAATAATTGTCTTGCAAAATTTAAACTCTTCAATTGTGACTTGACCTACCTTACCTACTCTACAGAATAATTGATACAACACTCAACAAGACCCATCCCCTCTTTATTAATATGGATAAAGAACATGATAGACTCCATGTGCATACCTTTGATGTAATTCATTCCATACTATCATTGACTTTACTTATGTTAGAATAATTACTGTTACATATCATCATTAAGGCTAGTCTGCTAGACCAGTAATGATTAGTACCTAGTTTTGTACCTAGAGGTCTAGTGTAGACTCTTGGTGTTCCATGTACTCTTGTGTTTTTAATATATATAGAAGATAATGAGAGAGATCTGTTAAGCCCTCAAGAATATACTTTATCAGTTTTAATCTCAAGTACTTAAGACAAGCATGAGAGCTATTTCACCAATCTTCCCCCTCCTATTGCAACTCATATGGTGTACAACCTTAAAGTCCTCTATAGTATTATTCATGATATCACAAACTTAACCAAATGCAAGCTGCTGAGAAAAAAGGCTTAGACCTATTGGCCAAGACTTTGGCAATAAACCTGTACAAAATGTTGCAGGCATATCGGCCCAAATCCTTCATAATCTAGGGGTTCTCTTTCTTTGGAACAAGGAAATGTTGGTGTTGGGAGGGAGGCCTTTTCTAACCATTTCAGACTGGCTTGGTAAATGTCAACAAACAACATATATATCCCAAAATATTTTGTAGAAAGCTGGGTTTAACCCACTAGGGTCTGGAGCTTTTTGTAGAACAATGCTTTTTTGAATTCCTTGAGTCAGAAGGGTTTGGTTAAGATATCATTATACATATCCTACCACTAAAGTACCTCAACACATAACCATAACTATTATTGTTGAACACTCAATTTCCCACAGTAAGTTTTAGCGATCTGACTCTGCCTACTTGAGAGTCTAGTATGGGTTTATTTGTGCTCTTACGGATTTATCTATTAGGAACCTCCCAACCGGACATAAGGACCATTCCACACAAGTCCCCTCCTGTTGCTCAATATGAATCTCCATCTCACCTTTGTTTTGTTCATTCCTGAAGCCTGTATGTGTGTTCTTGCCCCCTGAATATCCTTGTTAGCCATGAACTGATGTGGGAAGGATATAAAAAACATGGCGGCTGCATAAGGCTGACCGAACAAGAACACCAAGAAAAACCTAAATCATCTCACGTGAAGAGAGGCATCCCACGACAAGAGAAAACATATTTTCCATTCACCATTATGCGACTAATATGTATTCATAGATTGCTTATCCTAAGGCTACTTTATAATAGTTACAGTTGGAAATGACAAATAAGAAAAGAAACACTAAGGATATAATACAATACAAACCTTCGTCTTTATACTTCGCATATAATTCATTCAGCTCCGTATAGTTGGAGTTGGTCAAGCCGCTGTCTCAATCAGAAAAACAAACTAGAATTGTAAATATACTCAACATTTATATGATTATCTGTATGAATAGTTATTGACAAGTAGAAAATAGAATCTGCTGAAATTTCAAGGCTCTAAATTAATAGAAGCAAAATTGACGTAAAAAAGAAACAAAAAATAAACGTCACACAAACTAAGGATACCATTTAGAAGCAACATTGATAATCAGCAGGACTTTTCCCTCGTAAGTGGAGAGATCTACCACATCTCCCTTAGCATCCTGCAAATGAATGGAAGAATTGTAACAGGAATTATAGTTATCACATGCAGATGTATTTGTGTTCTCACGCTATACATAAACACCTCAGCTTACGAGATTTCAGATAAAATATTCTTCAAGGGATTATATCTAGGTCTAAAAATAATAGAGTAGAAGAAAATATAAACGGTTTGTGTGTTAAATAAAATAAAAAAATACACAGTTCTGCCAGTAACATTTTTTCTTAAATAGAGAAGTATCTAATAATCATGAATCACTCGCTTCAAAAATAATTTTTCATCTAAACACTCTTGATCTTCAAGCGCATGGACTACTAACTCATTTTCTAGAGAAGCCCAGGATATTCTTGAAGGAGACTTATTTTTTACTAATTTCTCAAAGCACTTAAATCTATTTGGGAGACTATGTTAATAATCTTTCTTTGTAAGAGATTGTTTTACTAATGATCGTTTGGTGAATGCATGTTTGGTTAGACTTGTTTTGGAGAAAATGATTACGTTTTGCACTTGAGAAACATTTACTTATTGCATGTTCAGACTGTAATGTTGATAAAGAAGGGGAAAAAAACTATTCCACTTTCAAAAAAATAGGCAACAGTGCTAGTTTATCCAAAGAAGCTCAATGCACAGACGGAGATGAAGTAAGAAGACGAACCTTAACAGAGAAATCGTACACGGATTTTGGATCCTTGGAGGAACCGGTGGACATGGTGTCTGTATGTACTGTAAGAAGAGGAACTGAAGAGACACGTTAGAATGAAGAGCAACACACCAACTCTTCGATTTTGAGTGTTGAGAGTTGAAATACGTGACCAGTGATGTTTGCACACGTTGCGGGGTTTTTGTCGTATTTGCAAACTTTTTCTCTCTCTGAATCTCAAGTATACTGCGAACTAATATTACTTTTGGGAATTTTATTAATTTTTGAGACTGAGTGAAAAATTTTTCTAACATAAAATTTAAGGTTTAATATTTCTGCATCTTATATTTTCTATATATTATTTAATTTTTTATTTTTATTCTCAACACTTACAAATACAACATTCTGTAAATTTTTTTCATACGAAAATTTGATTTAATTTTGGGTCAAAGTATTTATTTCTGTCTACCGTTTAAGACTAATAAACATGATATCTTAATTTGATGATTATTAAATAATTAAAGAGTTTTCTTGGCTAATGTTCTTATAATATTGATTTAAAAATTAAGCTCTCTTATTAAAATTATACAAAAACACAATAAAAAAACTAAAATAAAACTTTTGCTCGTACCAATAAAAAGAATTTCTCTTTTCAAATCCTTAAAAATTGATTAGCACCTGTTTTATTTAAATTTGTGATAAACTCCTCAATTAAAATTTCGATTTTGACCTTGTTGATTAATTTACTCCACAATTTCAGTGTAAACGGATAGGTTTCATATTTAAAGACTAAATTGAGTAATATGTCGTGCATAGGAACCGAAATTACGGATGCGAAAAAGAAGAAACATCTAAGCTGAAAGTTCTACTAATGAAATTAAAGCAATCAAATTATTGGATAGTTGTTAGTCACAATTTTATGAAGATGAACAGCAACTCAGAGGTACATATAGAAGTAGAAATACTGTGGAAATTCCACTTATATGGCAATACATTTTTCTTATTCATGATGATATTCATTTAGTGGCAACTCCACATCATGCATCCAACAGCTTCTTTATGTCTTTCTGCAGACATTAAGACCAAACAGTCATTGTTAGTGTTCAAATTTTACTGGTGTCATCCTCGTACAGATCAAGTTACCTCAATGCTTAGTGGAGAAGTTGTTGGTGCATAACGGTCAACCACATTCCCATCCTTGTCAACAAGAAATTTAGAGAAGTTCCATTTGATACTATCCCCAAGGACTCCTCCACCTTTGCTTGATTTCAGAAATTTGTACAGTGGAGCAGCATTGTCACCATTCACATCCACCTACATACATTAGAAGCATGTACTAACAATACTTGACATGTTTACAACAGATTGTGATGAAATACAACATAATAAGAACACTCCATCAACATCATATTCAACACAGTTTGCAGTTTGGTACCTTTCATAAATTGGGACCTGTTCTCGAATTCTATCAAATTGATAGATATTGAATGAAATCAGTGAGAGCAATTAAGGACAACACCAACCTTGTCAAAAATGGAAAACTCAGCTTTGAAGCGAGTACAAGCAAATTCCACTATCTCTTCATTAGTTCCTGGTTCCTGAGCCCCAAACTGATTGCAGGGAAATGCCAGAATTTCAAGTCCTACGCAAAAAATTAGAAGACTGCCTCTATAAAAAAAGAAGATAAGGAGAGAGAGCCTTTTGATCTTAGAAATAGACACTATCTATGGCTGGTAAATACAAGGCTGAAGGAAGATAATTTTAACATGAAGAAAAGGTATAAAACAAACCAGAACAGAGAACAAAAACAAAGATTTATATAAATCAAAAAGCCTGCAAGAAAGATGAGAAAACCATACCTTTCCCTTTGTATTTATCATATACTTGATTCAGTTCTGTGTAGTTTGAATTAGTCAAGCCACTGCACAAATATTGAGTATCAAAATATATTGTAAGGCTTACTATGGGAAGAAAAAGTGAAGTGTGAGAAAAGTGCATTAAGGTTTTTTGGTAAGCATAAGATGTGTCAAATAATGGTAGGAGATTGGTTGCTGTTTGCTAAAGTAGCTATTCGTATGTTATCATGAATGACCTGCATAACCATTCGAATTAGTTGGTACTTTTCAATTAGAGATAGTACCATTGTGAGGCAACATTGACAATGAGAAGAACTTTTCCTTTGTAATCTCCCAGATTAACATCATTTCCCCTGGCATCCTGCAGACAAACTTAATAATTAAACGAGTCCATGACTTGCAAGGGATTTATACATTAAAGAAAGAAAAAGAGATAAATAAGTGGGATGTGTAGAGAAAAGCAACGTACTTTAACTGTGAAATCATGAACTGATGATTTAGTGTTTGATTGGCTAGCCATTTTTAGAGTGAAGGAATTTGAAATTGAAAGAATTTTTCCTGATGAAAGATAAGAAGGATGGAAGACTGTAGAATGAATGACTTGAGAGGTAGAGAAAAAAGCAAATTATCGGACGCAACAACCAGATAGAGCCACTTCTGTAGCATTCTGAATGTGATATGCTATATAATAGAAAATGCAAAAAAAAANGTAGGAGATTGGTTGCTGTTTGCTAAAGTAGCTATTCGTATGTTATCATGAATGACCTGCATAACCATTCGAATTAGTTGGTACTTTTCAATTAGAGATAGTACCATTGTGAGGCAACATTGACAATGAGAAGAACTTTTCCTTTGTAATCTCCCAGATTAACATCATTTCCCCTGGCATCCTGCAGACAAACTTAATAATTAAACGAGTCCATGACTTGCAAGGGATTTATACATTAAAGAAAGAAAAAGAGATAAATAAGTGGGATGTGTAGAGAAAAGCAACGTACTTTAACTGTGAAATCATGAACTGATGATTTAGTGTTTGATTGGCTAGCCATTTTTAGAGTGAAGGAATTTGAAATTGAAAGAATTTTTCCTGATGAAAGACAAGAAGGATGGAAGACTGTAGAATGAATGACTTGAGAGGTAGAGAAAAAAGCAAATTATCGGACGCAACAACCAGATAGAGCCACTTCTGTAGCATTCTGAATGTGATATGCTATATAATAGAAAATGCAAAAAAAAAATGTTGCAAAATGAATTAAAAGAGAACAAAATACCGATTGTTTGGCATATATACTGAATTAAGAAAATATTTATCTATTGAGAAATTAAATATTTATCTACTGAATTAAAATCCTTGTATGAAAGTGCGTACACGGTTAATGAATGACATTGGCATCTAAATTGGTCAAGGGAAGTGGCGAACCAAAACTTGAGGTCTGCAATCCTTAGTTGCAGTAGCTTCTAGATTAAATTGGATCAAAAGAATGCAATGGCATATTCTCAATGTTCACACTATAATCCAAGCCAAACATACCCAATAGGAATAAAGATGCTATGGAATATGAGAATCTATTCCACACGACAAAAATCAAGAAGTCTATATACATACAAACTACGAAGCTAGAAACAACAATTTCGTTTTCATTTTCTTTCCAGTGTTCTTTTGGACTTTGTACTCGTCATGTTACTCTTGAGAATAGATCCCAATTCCCAAGACTAATTCCATAAGCTACCTTACTGTTAAAGAAAATTCATTTGATAGATTTGTGCAGAAAAATGGAAGAGTTCTAACACACATTACTATGATGAACACATTGGAAGTGCTCATATTTGTAAGCTAACAGAGAGAAAACATAGATTCAAAATTGAGAGAAACAGAGAGAGATAAACTAATAATACTGTGGCACTTTATTATTGATGAAAGATGGTTACAAGTATTGTTAATGAGTCATTGTAAACATGGCATTAAGTGCAAAAGTAAAAAGAAACAAATAGAGAGTAGAGAATCAATCCTTGTGTGGTTGCTCCAACATGCTAACCCTCTCAAACAGATTGTTCATTGTAATGGCAAACGCATCCTGAAACTTGTCAGGCTCAGCGTTGTAATTCCCATATACCAATCCAGGCAACAGTTCGTATACAATATATCTCCTCATGTTTTCTCTCTCTCTTAACGAAATGTTGGCCAGTCTCTCCACCACATTCATTTGTGTCAACTCTTTTTTGTCCATAAACACGGAGTACTTATCATGGTCATGGGGCAAGTGCCAAGGATATTGGTAATAAGCTGTGAAAGGATCAAAGAGAACAGGGATGCAACCTGATATGAGCGAATCAAAAACAGATTTTCTTGTTGGACTATCTCCTGGGGGCTGTAGGCAAAACTCAGACTCCACAAAAAGTTCTATTACTGACTCAGCCTCACCACACTTAACAGAACTGCAATTCATAAAATGACATTTCCCATCACCTAATGAAGTGCATTGGTTGATTAATGCTGACCTAGTGTTGTCCTCTGCATTAGCCCGTGCTGCTCCAGCAAAACTCACAAGGTTTTTGCGGTTTGATCTAATGATTTTCAGTTGCCAGGAGATTATATCATTGTCTGAATGTGGGTGGAAATTGGTTGGGTGAGGAATTCCGATGTCATTGACGTGCCAAGGTTGTCTTTCAATCAAGAGCTTAATGGGGTTTTGCATTTTGTCAAGTTCTAACAATCTAGTCCCCCAAGGAGACTCACTGCTTCTCCTAAAATCCCACGAAATCTTACCCAACACAAACACATGATCCTTACCTGAATTCCTTTTCCACGGTCCTTGTCTCTCAAGCCACTTCACCAATTCCAGACTCAAACTGTCCTTCACATCATTTGACACGTTCCTGAAATGCCATCGCAAGATATCCAAACCACCATAGAATGGAACATAGAATAGCTTTGCAACCGTTTCATCAGAAACCCTGCAAGGATGCCTCAAGACTCTGGAATGAAATATGAGTTCAAGCGAGTACTGATGAGTCTTGTACCATCCTTTGCCAAGCTTGGCTATTGGCTCACCCAACCCCTCGTTACTTAAATAGCTGCAGAAGTCCTGCCACGGAACCATGTCACGGCATTGACCCACCAAGTCCTTGTTAAACTTGGATGGCAAGTCATAAACGTATATTCCATTACCATCACAAGTTGCATAGTTTTTGTTTGACTTTGACCTCCAGGATCTATGGACTTGCAATTGTTCCTCAACGACCTTAACAGCATTTGCAACCCTCTCATCTGTATCATTGATAACTAGTCTACTAGCAGCAGTAACCGGATGTGGGGTATATGGAAAGTTGACAGGTTCAGCAGTTGCATTACCCTGATCAATTCCAGGGGTAATAGTAGAGATATTATTGTTTGTGGAGGTTGGTATTTCAAAGGAGGGGTGAGTACCTGCAGACAGACAATAGAGGTTATCGATTTTCCTTGTGGAAAAGCAAACATGAATGATGTTTCCTGTTATTAAGGTAGAGAAGGAAGACCACATGTAGATAAGGATTATGAGGAAGACTAGAGCAGAAATTCTACTAAGATAGTTGTAGAGGATTGTAAGGCCAAAGTAAGATTGTTTAGCTTCTAGATTTCTAGATGATGATTTTGGTCTTTTTCTGGATATAGACACTGCCATTTTCTGGGGGTAACAATGATAGTTTGCCTTACTTCTGGTTTTTTATAAAGTAAAGGCAAAATTAATCGTGGTTTGCTCACCTAACAATCTTATCATGCAAGCAAAGTTATTTTTCCTTGACTAAATAACACTATGCACGTCGAGATGTGCGTTGCCCGAAATTTCATGTTCTTGATGGTTGTGCTCCCCGAAACTGTACAGATGGCATATTTTAGTGGTTCACATTCATGATGCAATTAGCATTCATCCTCTCAGCGGAATGGAGTCAACATTGAATAATAAAATTATGTTAAAAATATATACATACATATCATTAGCTAAAACAAGAAGATGAATGTGTATATTCACTATGTATATTGTGTTGATTTCATCTGCATTTTATGATTGTGGTCTATCCAAAACTTAAAGAGAAAAAAAGAAAGTCGTTTATTTTGCCCAACACCTTAAATAATCCCCTCTTTAATTACTTTTCACATCTAAAAGTCATAGTGTTCTTTGTATTGGAGAAGTCTGAATAAGTAGTTGAATAAAATCATTTAACCTCTCTACAATTGCCAAGTTCATATTTTTCAGAAGCTATACCATTTATAATGCAAGCACGTAGTGCTGTTTTTCTCTTGTGTTAACTAAATTGTGCACGTCGAGTTGCGCTTTAATTATGTGTAATGTTTTCGTTGTGTAGTTGTGCTCCCAATATAATAATACGTCTGAAGAATGGCATCATAGTGGTTGGAATTCATAATGCAATAAACGTTCATCCATGTACTCAAATGTTTGATTTTCTGAAAGTCAGACATTAATGTTTATTTATGTTAGGATAAACTTAAATGCAATGGAATTAAATAGGTTGTTTATTTGTTTAGGAGTTTTGTCTATTTTTTAGTGTAAGGGTAAGTAGTTTAATATATTGGTTATTAGACAATAAAAGGTACGTCTCTATCATAGAGTTTATTTGAAGATAAAAAGTCAAATGTGAATCCTGTAAGTTGTAGTGTCTAGTTGACATGTAAAATTGTATCAAAACAAGTAGGAATACAAGATAGTTATTAAGTTTTTCATATAAAGATAGAGTTTTGCTAAAACTCTACATATAGCACTCTTCTCAACCCGTATTTCCTTAGTAGAAAACGAAATTAGCGAAAATGAAACAGGTTTGCACAAAATCTTTACGGGTTAAGATCTTGATTCATGTTTACATGTACTAGAGCGAGTCAAAGACCAAACACTAGAAGAAAGATAATTCTACTAAATTCTTACTGATTTGCATGCATCAAAGCAATCCACATACAAATCAGAAGTCCTTTCCAGCTTGAGTTTGCACGGAAACATCAGAAAGTATAGCGTTACATGATAAAAACACATTCAGCAATAGCAGATAAAACAATAAAAAGGAAAAAAACTTATTTGAAGCATCACTTACACTAGCAATACAGTATACAGCAACTCTACAACATACTGTCTGTTCTTGCAGGGAGGCGTCGGAAAAAGTTTATTGGGACACATGGCAGCCTGTGGCGAAACCTTGGATGCCTCATGATGTAGAAACCTGCCAAACCAGCCACAGCTTGAAAAGGGGTAACATAGAGCACCAACGCAGATAGAAGACACAATGTAATAAATAAGGATGTAGCACGAGGGTCTCTCCAGCTTAACAGTGCCTGAATCCTTTCTCCCTGGCTGGCCAAATCCCCAATCACTGTTTGAATCCTTCCAGCCACACTCCTCAAGCGATCATACCTCATTCTCACAAGGTCTGGGCTTCTGCTCGTTGGGAAAGTGTCAAACTCTTCATCCAATTCATCAGGGTGCACTGCCTCAGCTTGTGAGATTCTTGTGTTCATGTGAGGAGGGTACCTTGGTCTATATCTGAAGTTCCACACCCCTATCAAAAACATGTAGAGAAAAACAGTGGGCAAGATCAATTCTGGGAAGCACACAAGCATGAGAAACAGCACATGAACCAGCACTGTTGTGATAGGATTTCTCCACATGCAGATATCACCGAACCACTTCCCAACCGCAAACACACCAGAGAAGACAGTCATCAGTCTGAAGAAATTCGCCTTGCTTCGCCGCATGCTCCAAAGGTGAGAGTCCACATCTGACATGTATTCCACCACTTCCTTGCGAAGTGGTGGCTCTGCTCGGCCGAGTCGTGCTGCCACTATGTTCATTGCTTGGTGGCGTAGCATGTCTAGCTGTGTCACGGAGAAAGGCCTAACGTAGTGCATTTTAGGCAGCAGTGGACATGAGTACAAGTAAAGCATGTTTGCCAAAGAAGTGCATGAAAATCGTATTGCCAAGTGAAGTTCACCCATCTTCTTAACCCCAGTTGGGTGAAGAACCAACAATGGATATGAGTGAGTGTAAATCCTTCCTGTTTCTAAAGTAGAGATGCGAATTCTGACCTTCCCAACTTTCAAGTCCTTCGAAGTACCGTTACCCTTTTCCCCGATCTGGCTGTTGTCGAAGACACCAACTGTAAGAACTGTGGCATGATCAAAAACCTCCCAAGTGTATTGCTCGTTGTATTTTGGACTCAGATTGTCAACAATGGTCCTTGTTCTGACCCATTTGTGACCATATTTTGCTACACAGTATGTGTCAGATGTGCCTCTACCATCCCTTGTTTTCATTGGGTGGAGTCCTACAGCATTCAGTACTCCAAGCTCTAAAACCCCAATTGGTGGCTTCCACAATTGCTTTGCTGTGGGACGGAGATCACTGCTATAATGAGTAGACTCGTCAAGAACATGATATCCTCCATCTAGGCATAACCGGAGCTGAATTCTGCTTGAGAACTTTTCCTTCTTCAACTGATCAACATCTATAGCAACTGGCTTTTCCAAGTTGAACCATCGAGAATGAATGATTCTATCATCCGCACGCCTCTCCACAGAGTTCAGTGGTATGATGACCCTCCCAATGATTTCATCTTTTCCAGGACTAACCCGATCTTCAACTGAAATGATTAAATGATCTTCAAAAGGTTCAGCAGCGACAAAAAAAAGATCCTCATTCCAGAGTGCGCTCAGCGTCCGTGCCGGAACTGTTTTTGTTTTCAGCACTTGGTTTCCTATCTGCACCTTGGCATACACATCTGGGAAACGGTTTTTTTCTGTAGGAACCAAGTCTTGTGCCTCCACAATATTGACACGTACGTACCATAACCTTGGCGCATGATACACCTTTGAACGCATCACTGCAGAGATAGCATGTGTGCTGTCAACAGGTGTGGCTGCATCTGAATGCCATGCATCTGAAAAAGCCTCATCTGCTTGAGTACCAATCCAGACAGCAAGCATCAACTCACCTTTAATCTTCTCCCCTTTCTTGTCCTCAAGACGGTACCACTCCGGAGCCAAAGGGCTATCTGGTGGGACTCTCAAAGGAACCTCATTGATGTCAAACCTCACAATGCCAACAAAATCATCTTTGATGAGATCCCTGTCCTTTATCACAACATCTAGTATGGATGCTTGCATCCGGTCCCTTGAAAAGGCAAACACCTGGTTCCATTCTGGACTCTGATTCTTATCAAAGTGTCTGGTAATGCCCTTGTAATTGCCAATTCTCACCTCAACAAATGGATCAAGACTCCCAGTCATATCCATAGCAGGAAGCTCACGAGCCTTGACAACCCTCACATACAGAAAATACATCCTTTCAACAAGATCATACGTACTAGCTGTTTTGTCTTTATGAATAACACGACCACCAACAACTCTTCCCCCGCCCAGATATGGACTAGTTTCTTTAAGTGCAAAATCAACTGGTTGTGCTGATGTACCAGTACGTACTAGCTTCATGGGTTGTGGTTCAGATTTCATTTCATCAGCTTCATACTTTGTTACATAATGAGTATCAGCAAAGCCAGTTGAATGCTGCTGGTGATGGTGCTGGTGCTGGTGCTGGTTTGTGTTAGGAAGATGATGGAATGTGTGCCTTGACTCAACCTTTTCATTTGGTAAACTGTTTACCATTGCGCTTGCAGGTGCTCGAACTTCTGCATGTGAGCTAGGATTATTGGTTGGCATGGAATCAACAACGGAAGTTGGAACAGATGATTTTATGGTTGGGTCATCAGTGATGTAAACTTTAAGACCAATCTCTCCTCTTACACGCGAGAAAATACCACGCTTTTCTAATGGATAATGCAAGACAACTGCATCAGAGTATGGGACAAAAGAAGTCCCAGTAAGGCTAACCTTGCCAAGAAATGAAGTGGACTTAGTAGCCTTTGAATGGCTGTGGACATAGACCTCAAGTGAGAGATAGTGAAGATTAGAAGGGTCAGATATGTTAAAGTAGAAGCTCTCATTCCAAACAGGGTTAAGATCCTTTTCTTTGATGGTCGTACGATAATTCTGGCCATCAAAATAAAGTTCCACAAAGGCATTGGATGAACCTAGTCCATCTTTAGGTAATAGATTGTGAGCACTAACCACATCTACGCCTAACTTGAAGTTGTTCATAACGTGGTGGTCTGGTTTCTATTTCCAAATAAGATTTTAGCGAGAACTACACGATCACTGTAAATGCCTACAAACAGAAGAGGAATAAATAACTCGTGACAAAACAACTGAAATTTCAAAAGTGAGACATAGCTGCTTAACTATGCGAGTAAAAATCTCACATGATTCTCTAGATGTTTGTTTATGCTTATAATCTGCATTTACATACATAAAAGAAACGTCTAAGCATGTTATATTTAGATTTAACCTCGGTCCAGGCAGGTATTGAGTATGGCAAAAAACTATACAAAGGCAGGGTTAAGCATGTTAAATCTCATGTCAGACTTTATTTGCGGTGGCAAAATAAAAAATCTGTTAGTTCCACAGAAAACATAGTCCAGCTAAAAGAAGTAGGAACATTTAATAAGGTACAGAGCTTGAATCAAGAGATTTATGCACTGAATGTCGTGATATATATTTTGGGCAGAGGGGCCATGCAACAGCCACTGTTTCTTTCACAAAAGGAATAAAAAGAATATACTGAATAAGGGGAAAATTTTCTGAGCGGCAAGAAAACTTTCTAATGGTAGCAAACGAGGAAGTTATAACTGATACATCACCTTGGAGAGCAGAGAGCAACAAGTTGAGTGAGCAATGAATGAATGCCAAGCAACTGGAAATAAAAGAAGAGTTTGTGACTACCAAAATATAATCAAATGCAAAGGTT